AATGCTCTTGTTCTCAAAGCGGTAGTGGCGATTGCGACATTGCTGCGCTTCAGCAATGCTTCGAACGTCTTTACAGTTCGCCGGTACCGCCAATTTCCTCCTCGTCCACCCAGCAGTCCACACAAAATTGTCGGAGGTCTCCTTTGCCATATTCGTTGTTTCCTTTGCAGGTAATTTGCATGTTCGTGAGCTCGGCATGCGATCGTTCTTTATCGTATTAAGCGCGTTATGCTTGGTTTCGTGTGTCAAGGTTCAGAGGAGATGGTCAGAAACGGCAGCGGCGGAAATGTCAGGCGAGTCCGTCGAGAGCACGATGAGACGTTGGTCGATGCCCTGGGATTGCAAGCATGTTATAGAGTGGCCACGCCAGGATGCAAGGTCGCGTTTAAGGGTGCCTCAGCAGGATCATAGTAGATCGACCACACCTGACTCGGTGTGGAAAACGTCGATGGCTAGTCAGGACGGTCTCCAGGAAGCTATTCAGCTATTGTCTTGCAAGCCAGGTAGCAAAACCTCAGTCCCTCGCGACGGTTTGCAACGACAATATAGATGACTTTACGAAGGAAATTTCGCGAAAAATTATTCTTTACTGCGTGTCAAAAATTGTGACTTGTATAGCCGAGTCCTATCTCTACGAAATTAAAAATTTTTAATAATTATCTGAAGGTGAACGCTCGAACTGAATATTCAATATCAATATTTTTGTAAAACGACTTGTTTTCCTTCGTAATTTTGTCTGTTCTTTGTAAGATCAAAAGGACATATTTGACGAACTAAATATAAATTGTAGCTATCTCGTTTTTCGCGTTCTCGAATCTTACGATTCGAAGGTTGTACGTTGTGCAGGAGTTCGGTCGTCCAATCAACTCTCGGCTTACACTAGTCAGCATATCCCGGGCGTCACTTTGACAACCTGCAATTTCGACTCGAATTTCGACTCCGCTATTTGGTCGGGGTCGCGTAGGATAGGTTCACCTAGATGTTGGCCTCAGGACTCCAGTGACCATTCCGATCAATCTGGGCATCGTGATAGCGATCACAGTGTTCACAGCGAACATAGGGACTCTGGTAAGGTTTCTCTCATCGTCGTTTACCGCGATGATAAAATGGTTAATCTGAGAGAAATGTAAGAAATCGCGAAGGGATTGATACTGTCGTAATATTGCTGCAGAACAGAGCGGTGCCAGCGGCAGTCACGGTGATAGCAAGGACAGCATTCACTCTCATTGCGATCATAGAGAAACCGAAGCTGGTGAGTGCATTAACTATCGTGGTCGTAATATTTTATATCGCTAGAATGTTTCGAGAGTGGCGTTAAGGCTCGATTGAGCGTGATGATCTCATATCGAACATTTTTTTTAAGGTACAGCTGATACATTGCCGTCTCGCAAGAGCAGCTCGTCGACCGACTCTTGCGTCTCGGCACACAGCCGATCAGGTTCTGAAAGTGCGGGTGGCGGGGTAAATAAATGAGTTCAGTTATTTTCTCACTCATGGAGAGAAAGAAAATTGAGAATAAGTGAGTGAGTGAATGAGAGAGGGGGAGGGAGAAAAAGAGATAGAGAGAAAGAGAATACAATGTTAGTAAATCTAGGTTTATTAAACTGGTATCTTTTCTAAGACACCGATATACAGTGATAAAAAAAGGTGTTCGTACACTGATATTTTCACATCATGAACTTTGGATATCGTGATCCAGAATAAAGATAAATTTTACGTATATATACAAGAAATGTGAAAAAGAAGATTTAAATAAAATAGCTAACAATAAGACGCAATGCTACAAAATGATACATATAAGATGCATACAATTGAAAAAAAGAATGATAGCGTACGAATAACTTTGAAGCCTGTAGCAGACCATGAATTAGAGATTGAGGATTGAAAAATTCAACTAATTAGATTCTTTTAATTTTAATCTGTTTCATTCTGTTCGAATATTAATCTTCAATTCGCAATCATATCTTCAATACATAGTCTTTACTAACATACAGGCTTTACTCGCTGCGGTTACATTCTTCTATTTACACTCTTTTATTATGTTACACGACGTTTCGATGTTATCATAGAAACTATAAAATAGTTATACAGCATAAACGTCGCTGATTTTAGGATTGCACGAGATCACAATTATACTCGATGTGGAGCGGCGGCGATCTGTCCTTCATCAAGTTGCCGGAGAGCAACGAAGTACAAGACGAACATCCACCCACTTAAATATCTGATACTTTTGCTTCATATCCAAAATGTATCCGAGAAAACTCAACCTTTGAATTACTGAATCATGAAATGGCCCTTTCTAAGAAATATCTTTGAAGAAATATTTCGCACACATTGAAAAAATACAACAAACTCAATATATTTCTCTTGAAATTATTTTTGAAAAACATAAAACTTTTTTAGTTTACGCTTTATTTATTCACAAGGAATCTGTTTTATACATATTTTGTTGTATTTGGAGATTTTCTGTATTTCGCGATTCATTCAAATGATTCAGTGATCCAAAATTAAACCACGATAAAACTTGTTGACCCGTGAATTCACTTAATGGAGATGCGATCAATTTTATTTGTGATGTATACATGTTTAATATTTGTGACGGCGCGAGTTAGTACGTGCATATTGAGTGTACAACTAAAGATAGAAAAATATATGTATAAAGAACGTTATACAGATTGCCCACTTTGTAATACTTACGGTACGATCAATCACGCAATGGAGTTCGCAGAAAAGCCTTTAACAAACTACTGACGATTAATTTCTGCTATTTAAGTATACCATATATCTTTTTTTTAAGGGATAAAATATATATATTTTTTTTTGGACAACAGGAACGAAAGTAAATTGATCAATTTAATTATCTAAACATTAAAAGAAAAGTCATGAAAATATTTAAAAAAATATAAAAAATTCACCATTATAAATTTTAGGCATTCTTTTTATTAAAAATCAGTCATTTTTTAACTACTTTGGTCATTCTAATGTTAAAAGCGTTTATCGTATTTAAAAAGTTTTATTAATTCAATAAGTATTACGAAGTGTAATTCCGTCTGTGTTAAAAAAATGAACGTTCTGTATATTGTTAAAACTCGTATATACAGATGTACGCATGACCCAATTGAGGAGTATCGTTTCACTTCATTTACGAGGATTACTCTTCTCCGTTCTCTCAAATCCCACTTAACATCAAAGTGCACGTGCATGCGATCGTTATTCACTCGCTCTGTTGGATAACGCGAACTTTGAGTGTCTTCGCACGCATCTCGTTAAACATCATTGGGTGCTTTCCATTTAATGATACAAGTCGACACAAGTGTCATTATGTCCTTGTTACTCGAGATTCTGTTCTCACTCATCAAAAGGGAACCGTCTATATTAAGTTACTGATCTGGATAACTAATGATTTCTGAACGGATCCTTTACAATATTGATTTAAGTCTTTATTTTGAGATTGTTCTCCACACGAGTTCGACTCATCTGTGGATTTATAGGAGGGACTGTTTCTATCCATATTATCGGCAGGTTAAATCTATTGTGTCATATGAGGTGTAGATTATGGACAGTCTCTCGTCATTTTAAGATTTATACATCAGGATTTCTGTGGGAACTAAAGGCTTGCATGATACTGTTGTCAAGCAAAGAGTTGGATTATCGGATTAATAATTCTAATTTTGGGACTTTTGATGGAGATTCGACAAGAGTAAGAACCGGTCAGCGACAGAATCGTCGAAAGTCGTATAGTATACAGATGGTAGCAAGACTTCTGGATTTACCATCTATATTATACGACCTTCAACGAGGATTTTGTCACTGACCTGTTCCAACTCGGGTTGGATCCTGAGGTCCCGGACATCGTTACGTGAAGTAACGCGGTTTTGACAGCAGGACTCAGGAATTCTCTAGATTGCTGCGATCTAACTAGAGACTGTAGCCTCTAGAGGAGAATGTCATCAGATCTTTGGATCTGTTTCATCGCATGGTGCTATAATCCTTCATAGTGGGTCGGAAAACCATAATGAGATTTAAAAAGAAGTATATCTTTATTTTACTCATTGAATGTTAAGAAAGATAGAATGATGTTTTTGTCGACTTGTGTCACTAAATAGAAAGCACTCATTACAGAATCGATCCTGAAGCGTATCACATTCCATTCGAAGAGACGTGTTCTACCTATCGTTATTGCGTGTACATCAATTGTCCTAGAAATGCACAGTGCTACCGCTCATAAATTTTCGAACACTTCATACATGTCCCATACTACATAAATAGAATTCAGTATATCTGCATATTACATAAATAAAAGTCAAATAAAATAGAGTCATTGTTGATCTATCTCTACGATTTTTATTTTAAACAATTTTAAATTTATTTTCGGGGATCTTTACTCGTCTCATTTTTCCTCTTACATACCTCTTTTACAACTATTAAGCTTTTACATATAAAATATTTTTAAATAAGATAACATTAAACTTCGTCATAGACTACGGTCCAATTTTATAACATCGCCAAAGTTATAACATCCGATATAACTACTGACGTTAAACGCCGTGTAAATGTTATTTTACGACAAAGTCCGTTTTACTACATCAATGTAATAATGTCGTCGTAAAATAGCGTTATACGGCGTCAGTAGTTATAATATCGGATGTTATAGTTTCGACGTAAATCGAGCCATGTAAATGTAATAACATACGGTAAGTGGAAATGCTTTAAAGTTCTTGCAAGTATTGCTTTACAGAATGTCCGGAAATTTATTAGCGGTATTGTAATTTGCAATGCTTCTTCTTAGAAGAATTTTGAGAGAGGTCTTACATGTGTAAAACGATCTCGATTTTCTAATCGAGAGCGATTTGTTGTACAATTTTATGGCACGGACGTGATAATAAAGATTTTCGATGTTATATGAAGAACCTAGCATTGCCCGAGTGCTTAATAAAAAAAAAACAATATTATATATATTATAATATTGTTTTTTACAATATTATATATTATACGTCGCAGTCATGTACAAATAAGACTTGTGGTTGGTCGCATTCGCGCTTGACACGCGTAGATTATTTAGATTATTACTATGACTGTATATTCCCGATACAGTCGATAGTTGGCGACTTTGCGTATTAAATTAAAAAATTTGTTAAAATTCCTTAGAGACAACATTCTAAAATTAGGCTTACACTTAGTTACAACTTTTGTCACAGTTGCGATCGATTTTCCGGATTATTCAAAGTCATTTTCGAGCGAATCGCTGTGTTCAGAGAATCAGATTATAAGGGAAACACCCATGCAAAGTAATTCTAAGTCGTAGATTCACTAACTTATTATCATGAAGTCGTAAACACTAGACGATTTCTCAAAAGATAAAACTCCAAATATCAAGATTGTAGTATAGTCTCACTTTTACACGATGATAAAACGACTTCTTTACAAAAACAAATAATCTCGCGATCGTAATTTTATCAGAATGTCTTTCGCACGCAAACACTTTTCCTCTTGTCGCGTATATTTTGCACGGAAGAATGGCGAGGGAAAGCGTCGGAGACGAACGCGACGGCTAATCCTCTACGTCTTCGCCCAGCACATCTTCGTCTTCGTCCTGACCATAATCGTCATACGCCGTTTGCGTGTCCTTCAGGTCATCTTCCTCCTCCTTGTCCCCCTGCGAGCACAGCGTGCATCTCGATTCGTTGATTCCGTAGTTGATGCACGTATCGCCTATACACTCGCAACAGCCGTCATGGAACCACCTGTAGCTCGTGGCGCCCATGCTCTGGCAGGATGCCCGACATTTGTTCCAGGAATTGCATTGCGCCATGAACGCGACCGTGCAGTTCACCGTCATCACGTTCGGCTTCAACGGATGCGGCTCCTCGTTCGCGGCCTCTGCCAATCAAAACGTATCATTAACTCATGACATCTATAATCAACATCGTTAGCATCTCAATGAGCTTTAACCATCACAGAATCTTTAACGCGTCGCAATCGCCTAATCAAAACAAAAAGCCATAATAACATCAAAATAGTTCCAAAATAATTACACTGTTCAATATCTAAATTCTCTTCGAAGTTTCATGGTACATATTCCGCAGATTTTGTCGCGCTAAATATGAGAGATGCCATCGTTAGAATTTACATAGTGCATCGTGCATTGAGAATCCTAATTTAAACGAAGAATTAATTTCTGGAACGCAGATAAAAAGAATGAAGGATCAGAGCTACTACGACTTTATATATTATATTATAGAAGGAAAAATAGAAGGAAGAAGTATTGGTAGAAGGAAGATATCATGATTGCGGATCGAATCTAAGAGAATGGTTTGAAATGAGTTTTAATTAATTTTTCAGAGCTGTGCAGTCAACAAGATTAGGATTGTCTTGATTATTGCTAATCTCCGATAGGAGAAGGAACATGAAAAAAAAAATCAGGATCGTTTTTAGTAAATTAAAGCCAAAAATCACCTTATTTACTATTACATCCCAATTTATTAAAAATATTGACGTGCTATTTTTTACGATCGTGTTTAGCGCGAAAAAAATTTTGAGATATTATAACACGTCAGAGAAAAAAGTGATTTTTTTAATTGAACTGTGTAGGTATAATTATACAGAAAGTCTAAAATTTAAACAGCTTGATGAAAATGAGTCGTGTAATCATCAACTAAAATTAATTTAAAGACTCTTGAATTGTACTTTTTCATGTCGTGGAATTTATTTAGAAACAATTAAGATTTTGTTCTGCTGTAAAAATATGTTGAAAATGGACAAAAACATCTTTTTTTAGCCTGTTTTACCTTAATTTACTTAAGATTCTGACATGCTACGCAAATTTTATGTGTTTAATATACGTAAAAATCTTCGGGATATTGTACTATGATACTTTGAAAAGAAAAAAGTGGTGACTTTTGGTCAAACAGTGTTATTAAAAGTAATTTTTCAATCAGTCATTGATTAATTTTTGTCATTTTCACATTATCGTGACTTTATTCTGTTTGTGCGGCTCATCGATACTTATTGCGTTATTTAATTTACGCTACGTATTCCGTGAAGAAGTTGTTTCTTTTTCTACGTAATATTCATTCTGATGAATTATTTGCACGCGACACGCATGATCGGTTGATTAACCAATTCGTATGCGTCGACAGTTTCTAGTGATTCTCAGGTATGGTAGGAATCGCGCACTTTCTCTCGGTGGTGTAATTTCGATACTTACGTATATGATATTTCATTTCGTTCTCGTGTTTCGGCGCGAACACCGTCATATCAAAGTCTACCGGATATGTGAAGGTGAGCCATCTCTCGTGCGGGTCCGCTTCGGCCGTGAGTGCTTGGAAGAGTGCTGGCACTGGCTCGCTGAATTCCTCCACGTGAGATTTCCTGCTCAACGGATTGTCGGTGATATTCGGCTTCGGGCATAAATCTGCACACCCATAGAAATGTGTTACATCACTTATGTATAAGGGTCGTGTAAAAATTATCCTTAGAAAGTAGGATTAAACCGGATTAAGGCGGTTTATAAATTAGATACCTGCCCATTCCCTCTCACGTACAAATCATTCCAATAAATTAAAAATCATTAGTAATATTTAATAATTTATAATTATGGACAATTCACATTTTAAGAGCCCGATTAATATTTATAATTTAGTAATTTATAATTATTTTAATTATTATAAATTATATTTTTTTACACAGAGGTTATTTCAAGAGTGGCATTGACATATTTTATAGAATTATAGAGAATATGCTTGAAATAGTGATCAGAGAAGAAATAATTTATTTTAGTTCACATCAGAATGCAATTTATAATACTATTTTTGGCGTACATACATTACAGGCATACCGGCTAGTCATATATGACATTTACCAATATTTATGAAATTGATTATTAGTACACTAGTCAATTAGGAATATTTAAATTGTCTTATCTTTTATATTCTTACTTTTATATACATCTATTTTTATGTTGAGCCGCATTTAAATTCATAATTAAATAATGTGAAAACTTTTTAGCATATCTAAATTGAATCTTTCTCCGATCATTCATTCTTATCTCATGAATAATTATCAGAATTCTCTTTATAAGAATCTATAAAATATTTCGAAATAAGCCTTAGTTTATAAAAGGCTCATTGCATTAAATCAATTATATCGATTACTAAAATTAATTTAATTAATTCAAAATCAATTTGTTTAAAATAAAAGGAAATTTTGTCTAAAATTAATGCAGCGATAGCTATAGTGCAAATCTATTAGTTTTTCAACTTTCTCTCAGTTCATCCGTTTATGCAATTAAATACTCGTTTGTGCATTGTATTTTGTAATTGTTATACTTAGCATTTAATAGCTTTTAATAAATTACTATCTTTTATTAGGATGGACTGAATTTCTAATAACAGTAATACAATACATCTGGTAAATTGAAATATTGAGAAAGATTTGATTATCCTCGGTATTATCTTACCTACGCACGAGCAGCACTCGTCGTACAGATAGCTCAAGCACGAGAAGCAGTCTTTGCAACAAGTGCAGGTGACCAGGTCGCACTTGCAGCTTTGCGTCAGCATGCACTTGCTCACGACACTGGCGCAGATCGCCTCGTTGCATGCTTCCGAGCGTTTCGTCGCGGTCGTCAATAACAGGATCCCGACGGCGGCCGCGACAAACAATGCACTCCAACTCGTCATCCTGTTTGGGATAGTTTCTATTAGATTCTCTTACTTGACTTGTACTGCGGTACAAAACGTCTCACTTCGTGGATATTATTACAAGCTTACATATTTCGAAGAAAGACGAGGACAATAAAATCCTTTAAAATTAGATATATATACACGTAAATAAACAAACTTTTGGAATCTTTCAATTTGAAGAAATGTTTTGAAATTGTACTGAATATATAATTAAAAGAATTATAAGAAGAAAAAATCATTAAAGAGATCAGCACTTTTTTAATAGAGAAAACTAAAAAGAATAAAGCAATTTTAAGAACAGCTTAGATTTCAAAATTTATTATTAATTGTAAATAATAAGTTGTAATACTGAATATTATTGAAATTTTTTCGTCTTATAATCAATTCACATGCACTTAGGGCTAATTGTTCCATCTTCGACATTCCACAAACTATGTGTTAACTTATCTCCTGAGTAAACAAAAGACTAAAAGAATAAAGAGATAAGAGAGTAAGAAAGTAAAACAGTGAGCTGAAGTTTACCAAAAGGTGGAACAATTCAGCCTTAATGTATTATTTTGATTTAATCTATATGACAGAATAGTTTTGTAAGATGTAGAAAATGGGAGATAAGAGTCGAATACTTTGTAGCGATATATTAATAACATTTTGTGTATCGATCGTTGCAGAATATCTAAAATATAATCTTTTCGCATAGAAAGTTTCCCTTTAAGACTTTATAGAAATCGCAGAGACGTAATGGTACTAAAAGCTAAACCACAGACCTACTTGATCGTGTTACCGTTGAAAAATTATACGGCCGCGTTCAACGCAGTCCACGTGATTTTTATATGCACATTTTTCTGCTCATGCGTAGATTATTATTTGTCTGCTCTTAGATGCTGGACAGTGTATGATTATAACGTTTCCCTGCTCTCGTCGCTCCCGGAGTGACATTACGGAGACGAGAAGAATGATTATGCCGACGAGGCCCGATTAAGATTATTAAGAATATTCACGAACGTGAGTCAGGGTGTCATTAAGCGAGAACGCGTGCTAAAAAGAATGAAATTTCAGTCTCTTCTCCTGGCAAGCGCTGCTCTAACGTGCTAACTCGAACAATCAGTGTAATGCTGCTCCTATCCATTTCAGGGATAACACCGCGCGAGGTCACTGTTTAAACTCGTTTAAGCCTTTGCAAATTCGGGGTCTCTTTGCTAATACAACTGGAAGCGATTTCGCTTCCTGCGCGCAGGAATTGTCGCGGATATTCCGGGGCTCATTTGCTACGGCGAGGCACAAAAATGGATTTTCTTTAAAGTTATAAATGCAAACACACACACCTATAGAAAAGATTTTCGAATCCAATGTCATTACTCCAATCTATTGTAAAATATGGTTGATATACAATCATATCTATTGCTAACAGAGGAATATTTTTCTCTTAAATGAAAATTCTTAAATCTAGCCTAAAATGATTTTGGACATTGGTTTCGTGCCAAATTTTCCAGCATGCATGACTTCCAGTAAAGATTTATTCTAAACGTAAGAATATATGTATAAACTTAAATTTATGTATTATGTTATCTTTGTTTCAAGACAATAAGTCAATCTTATATTTAATTCAAGAAAGTAAAATAAGAATTATTGATCTAATCTTAATATCATTTTATTTTATACTCCATAAAGAATATTTTTTGCCTTGTTATTAAAAATCCTTTCTGAGAAGATACAGACAGAGAAAGTTATATTCTCGGGAGATACGTCCTATGTAGAAATTATTTTTTATTATTTGAAGGTCTATCTTTCTCATGCAGAATCTGACTGATTTTTATCTCGATTTTTATTCTATCAATTACTGAGATTTCTAATGGCAAATTTTTTCTTAAAAAAACATGATAATAAATACATAAATTTAGAAATACAGGAATCAAAAAGCAATTACTCCTCAAAATGTTTAAGGTTCCCGTTTATTCACTGTTACTATCTCACAATCAGATTGAGACGTCAAAAGCGAGAAAATAGACAATAAACATTTTTGAAAAATGTATTAATACTGAAATATGTTTTAACAAAACAACACTTACAATCTACTATCGATAGAGACTGTGTTTCAAAATTTACTGCCAGTACTGAAAGTCTATAGTTTATATCATATACTATAGATTTTCAGTACTAGCAATAAATTTTAAAACACAGTCAGAATCGACTTGTAAAATATAGCGGAAACTCTTCTTTTGTTTCATTAATTAATAAATAACCATACATACATCTGGAAATTAGGGCCGTGGCGCACAAAAAACTTTAAACAGATTAATTGAAATCAAGAACTTTTAATGTCAAATAATATAAATAATAGAAAGGGCATATATATAAGAATCAGTTACAAAAAAAAATCATAAAAAAAGATAAATTAAAACATAAAATGCACTGTAATTAAATTTGAACAATATAATTTTTAATATTACATGTTTCGGCTATAATATTGAACCATCTTCAGTCAGATATTAAAATAAACGCAGAAATGTTGTAAAATGAGGAACACAGTGATAGAAGAAGTTATAACATCTGGGTGCACCCAAATGATAATTCTGAACGCAGCCCTTAGTGCCTTATAAAGAAACAGAAATTACTTGCAAATGATTGGACGATCGATTGTTGATAATTTCTCGATAATCTGATGAAAATAAAAAAACTTGAGTTGTTTTTTATCTTATTTGGAAAATAAAAAAATCAAAAATATATATAAATTGTAAAAAATATAAATTTGTTACAATAGCTTTAAGCTTATGATAATAAAGGCAAGCAAACCGTCACTCTGATAAAAAACTCACCGACAAGGCTATACAGTTATGTTTTGCAACATGTTGAGAAGAATGCTTGTCAGAATAGTTGTAATAGACAGTGTGAATATATGTAATAGATGGATATATAATAGTATTATCTCTCGGGAGCTGCTCGGGGTCGCTCCGAACGAACCCAGCGTACTTGAAATATCCTACATTTCAAGTACGCTAGATTCGTTCGGAGAGATCCCGTGCAGCTCCTGAAAGACAAAACGAACAACGCTAATGTTAGAAACAGAGTCGTCAAAAAGTAACAGTTAGAAAAAAGAGATAGTCAATACAAGTAATAATCAAGAACCAAAAACAAAATAAACTATGTTGACAGCTATGACAAACTGTTAAATTAATAATAAGGATTAGAGTAAATTTATAAAATATACTGAAAAAATTATTTTCTTCTTTTAGAGAAAAATTGTATCATGTTTATTTCTATTCTAAAAATAAATATATAACTATCTATTGCAAATGTTATTTTATTAATTATATTTAAATGGAAAATTATTTCCATTTAAATATAATTTGCAAGAATTTTTATTCTATATTTTTTATTTTACAATTTGAAAGCAGTAGTGAATAAATAAGGATCATAAGATTATCGAGTGAATATCGCACAATCACATTCTTCATTTATGAAATTTAATTCTCTCTTTATAAAAATCGATAAATATACGCGCAAATTATTTTTACATTGCATATACTTGGCCAGATAGCGAGGAGAATAAAGAAACGAGGAGTTAATCGAATGCAAAACGATCGTTCGTACAATAATTGCACATTTCAAACGCGCCCATTAAGAATCTATTTATATCACGTATAATCGCGTCCTACGATATCTCAGGTGAATTATTATTGGAAAAGAATTCCACTACACAACGACCTGTTACACGCGGTGATTGAAAAGGCACGACCGACTCTATATTGTACATGCCGCTGCTGGCAACTTTCATGCTCGCTTTCCACATGTTCTTATATCTCCTATTTATTAATACGCTATTAAAAGTCACTAAGAATTAATATCAGGATTTAGAAAGAAAGAAGATAGTAAATATTCATATTCGTGTCATTCATGATATTATTAAAAATTTGTTTAAAAAATTATAACACATTCTATATGATCTCAATCTTACCCTATCAAGCAAAGTTTGATCCTAGACATACCTTAGACACACACAAATATATTTGCATGTAACTTCTTTGTTTTCTTTACATAAATATTTGAAGCAAAAAAATACTTTTTACACTTTTGTATTTGTATATTAAGTTACACATCTTCACATTTTACATTTTTGTAGTCTACGTGTTAACTTGTTTTATAACCAACTTTTCATAAAATTTTATTTCTGACACTTTATTTTTTAACAAATTAATTTTTATTTTATTTGTATTTTTAAATTTTATTTTTATACACATCTTTTTGTAGCATATTTTATTATTTATTCGTACACTTTGAATAACTTTTCAATCTATTACGTTTTACTGTCCGCTCGTTATTTCACCGAACACTACCGAATGACAGGACCTACCACGGCAGATTCCTGTGGCAGACTAATCACGAAGATTTTGAGGGACGGAGGGACTGTAGTTTTAAGGTAGGAAATCCCCACTCTATTTCGAGACGGTCCTAGGTCATTCGAAAATGAAGGCGCACCCACCACTGTGGAACGGTTTACGATGGCTTCTAAGTAATTATATCTGTTATGCTTTTTTTATGCGTCGGCATAAGCAATCACACTTTGACGATTTAAGTTACTTAAATACCTCCATCACACAAACCTCGACTCATGGAAAGCCCGTGGAAAAGATCGCACGATTATTAAATTAATCGTCATTGTATCTGTGCGTCAAATTGAAGATTAAAAGCTTTGAAAATATTGATGATTATATTTTTACCGAGAAGTCCAGCTGCTTGACTCACTCAAAACGAGCGAACTATTCATCAAATCTTATTGTGATTAGGGATGCATCGGATATATCTGGGAGAGATTAACGGATACCTGATTTTTGGTAATATATCCGGCCAAAACTTTATATTAAAATGACGTGTATATAATAGTATGAATACTTGAAAACTTTTATTATCACTGATCTGGCGCCGGATACCGGATATTTATCAGATATCCGGTACTATATTTCTATAAAAAAATATATCAGTGATAATAAAAGTTTTCAGGTA